TATTAGTGTCTGCCTCTAGCGTGTGTGTGTTTTCGGGTAAGTACATATTTATTTACTCTTCCGGCTTGTTAATATATTAAGTAGTTACACTTCTGACACAGATTATTGGCTGGCTTTTCGCTAATATCAGTCATTAGGTAAAATTAAAGAGATTGAATTCCACATTTAAGCAAAGTCTGTTATTAAGTTAGGATGTTCGCTTAGCTCTCTATAATTTCTTTATACAATATCAATAGATATATGTACTCAACGAGTAGTAGAACATGTGGCTATTTATTTCAATTTTCTCAATTCGCATTTAAGACGAAAACAAAGTCACCAAGTGTACGTGCCCGGCATGTCCAACGACTGGCACTGGTTGGCCGCAAACTTTGCCCAACAACAACAACAACAACAAGAAGAACGGCAAGTACATGGCAAAGTGTTGAGGCACAGCTGGTGAGCGGGCGGGCGGTCGGTGTGGGTGTGTGGGGGCGGAATGTAAAGCGATTTTGGGTCTGACTCTGTGACCATCATTGCGGTCAACGGGCAGGTTTAAGGTGTAGCGAACGATGTCCGCCTTTTGGCCTCCACGTTGACACGATGACCACGACTGAGGCGCTGGACAAAGCAATCAACCACACACCCACACCCACACACACATACACCCACACATACACCCACACTGACACACACTCGCACACTCGAACGAAATTACATTTCCGGCTTGGGCAGCATTGCGGAAGCAGCGCGTCGATTTGAACGCTTCAGGGCTAAAATTATGACAGGTGCCTGGGATCCACCACTAGGAATTGTTGAGCAGCTATAAATACGCGCGGTCGGAAAATGTCAGCGCTTAGTAGCACAGTCGAATAGTGAGTCAAACAAGCAGAGCAGCAAATATGTGGCAAGGATTCGGCATTTACATGGCATTGTTGCTGTGCCTGGCGAGCGCACAAGCGGCTATCATACGGAGCGAGCAGCAACAGGAGACAACCACCATATTCGACGGGCTGGCAGAGGCTGCCAGCACTACGGTGGCACCAGAAGAGAGCACCACGCACAAGGCCGCGCTCAACCGCGTGGCACTGAGTCGCGACCAGGATGCCAGCGTGCAAATTGGTTTGGCCAGTGTAGATCCTGCGCCCGGCACCATCGAGGGCGACCTGATTGTGGTTGGAGGCAAGCCACAAATGAAGTCGGCTAAGCTGTTGCTGCTGAGCACGCCAGCTAAGCGGCCGGCAGAGGTGGAACAACAGCTTGAGGAGCAGGACGAGAGCGACACAGCCGCCGCGGGCAGTGCTGAGAGCGGGGTCCCAACCACAACGCTTACCTATATGCAGGAGCTGGAGGGCACCACCACAGCCGAGAACAGTGAATCTACAACAACAGCAGCCCCAATCGAGAGCAGCGACCGCCAGATAACAAAACTGTTTCCCATCAATGCGACAATATCCTCGCAGGACTCGTCTGAGCCCAATGTGGCCATCGCCCTGGCCACGGACAATGCCACAATTGCGATTGCCGAGCAGCCGCAGGCAGCTGGTGACAACAATGTGGCCATTGAGCTGGCCCTTGTCGAGCCCGAGGCGGAATACGTGCTGCTCGATGTCAATGCCAATGCTGGCCTGCAGCTGGCACCCAGCATCCCGGCATCAACGGCCACACATGACGAACTGCAGCTGGGCAGCTTCACGCACATCGACAGCGATGCCCACTTGCAGCCTGTGGTCCATTCCGTTGAAATTGTGCCCACCCGTTTCGATGATCCCCTGATTGTTAACTATGTGCACAATTTGCGCTGATTTTCGACCCCGAAAGCACTTTCGAATGGTTTCAAGTTAAAGTTTGTTTTTATGCTAAATACGATTATCGAAAATAACATATTACGATTTTAAAGCTTAGACTTAAGACATAATAAAACACAGAATGAAATAAAAATATATACGCAGAATTTTATAACTTGTCAATTATCGCAAAGTGAAAGCAACTAGACATTTGCATCAGGTGTATACCCTTTTTACCAATTTAAGAGGGGTATATTGGCTCATCTTAAAGCTCACAATTCATTGAGATTTTATCATCAAATTTTATCATACAAATTTTTAATTTCCGGTTCACTATTTAGCGAATTGTTGCCTTTAAATGGAAAATAAATTTTAAAAGAAAGTCTGTTGTCAATCTGTCTAAAATATATACAATGCTTCCCTTATTAATAATTTAACGAGTACAAATATGGAGGACAAGAAAGAGCCTGGAGAAAATTGGACGTTTAAAACTGAAGTAAAATGAAATCAATTAAAGGATTTTTAGGAAATTAAAGTAAACATTTTTTATTGGAGATTAAAGACTTTATTGTTGGAGCTCATTGTAGCTCGAATTTGAAATGGTTTTAAAGTATAAAAAGTAGTCAAGCTACAATCTAATATTGAATTTCACAAGTTTCAATTAAATGACGTCACAAATACTACATCGTTGAGCAAGAAAGAATTGCAGACTTTCGGCATGCCGAAGTTTAAATACCTTGACTTAGAGATTATTTTATACAAGTTGTACTCATCCGTGTGTTTGGCGGGCAACAGAATACAACCTGGGATAATACCAAAAGAAAGATCACTTGATGTCCTTAGTCAGTACAGAAGGTTGAGCAGTTCCAGGCCTACGTCTAGATCTAGACCCTCTTAGGGAAAGACCTAGCTAATTGAGCTATAAATATGCGGATCGAAAGGGGCGTTACTTGATTTAGATGTTTCTATATTAATCAAAGGAAGATAAATAAAGCTCGCGAGAGATGATGAGTTCGGTCAAGATATTTCAAAAGGGAGAGAGAGAAATTACAATACCCCCAATGCCACTAGGAAATGTAATAAATATATTTTTATAAATTGCAAATGAATACAAATATATTTCACCTTAAATAAGAGTAACATGGATCGATTAATTCTAAGCTGTTAACAATGTAATACGAGGGATGTGCAGTCCTGAGCCTGAGCCTCACCAGCGCTGCTCCACGTGCGTGGTGTAGACAAATCCTCGCCTGGGCGCCGCAATCAGAGGCTGCGAGCGCAGGGGTATGGCCACGGGTATGCCCGGGGATGTTGGCGCTCGGGCAACCAATACAGCTGGCCCCAGATTGGCGGTAATCAGCACATTTTCAGAGTCGGGCTCAGCATTGGTGCCCGGCTCCGGGGTGGGCTTCAGTGGATTTGTGCTGACACCGCAAACAGGATGATTGGCATTACTGTCCGGAGCTGCTGCCGTCTCGTTTACATTGCTTGCCTCCACCTGTTGCTGCTGCTGCTGCTGCGGCCCCAGCTCCAGGCTCAGCTCGGTGGGCAGTCGAAAAGCGCGACTTGGTCGATAGCCTGCAGCTGGATAAGGGGCTTTCGCATAGGCGCGGCCGGAACGAAACTCAACGGGTGCTGATGTGGTCGTGGCGTCCAGGGAATCCAATGTGGTTGTTGTCATTGTTGTAGTGCTCAAATCGAGTGATTCCGTTGTGCTCGTCGTTGTCCCCTCATCCAGCGGCAATTCCGTCGTAGTTGTGCCCAAGCCCGAGCCCTCAGTGGGCAATGCCTCGGCATCGGCTTCGCCCGGCAGCCAGAAGGCGCGTCCCTGCGGTCTATAGCCAGCTGCCGGATATGGCGTGGGCTTTAGCTCCTTAACCACCGCCTGCTGTACGTCATCCTCCTGCACGCTGACCGCATAACGATTGATACGTATCTGGCGAGTCTCGGCGATTCCGGTTGCCCAAAGGCCCAGGACTAGCGCGAATATCCACTGCATTCTGTATATATATCGTAACTGGTCGCGATATATTTCAACTGATTTGCGCTGCGGATGCGTCTGTCGTTTTTATACAACGTTCTCGAACTGCCTAAGGTCTCGGGTGCTCGGTCCGGCTATAGCTAACTGGCAATGAAAGCGAGAGTCGTCTCATTTCGTTCCGTTCCATGACGAGCCGTAATATCCCAGACATATGCATATACATATGCCTGAAACATCATTAGGCGCACGGTTATCACATTTATTGATTTATTTTATATATATATATATATATATATGTACACTTTATATTTTGAATTTGTTTTGTTTCTGGTGTTTGGGCTGCTTATCCACGTCCACCACGTCCGAATCGTCGCCATGTTCTATGGAAATAAAATGCGTTTCCTACGTGATCCGCAAGCTTAAAGAGTTTCGAACCGGCCAAAACCATTGACAAAACGCCCACATCAATTGAAAGCGAAAACTTGTTGCCAATTGCATTATATGTCTGGGTTTGAATGTTAGAATACTTATTAAACACTTATAATCGATATTTATGCGATCAACGACTGCAGGAGGTGACCACCAAGGGCAACTATGAGTAATTAACTAACTACCACAGCATGTCACGTCTTATGTTGCCGACCATATTATTATCCATATATATCGACATAAGTGTCCCAGCCCGATATCTAAACACAGCCCTATCACAATACTCTTGTAGACCATAGATTATATAGATACTAGGCGGGGCTGCACCCAGCTTATTTTCCCTGATTTTCTACATACTTAGCACAAGCTTAGTAATGTCATATATTTAAAAAATTCAATAAAACATTTTTTTTTTTAATTTATAGCTGTGCGGTCTACTGAAATAATAAATATATTTTAACACATTTTTATAAGAACATCATTCCATTATTTCTAAGCAAGTTTAGATAAATGTCATGGATGGGGCTGGATCTTGAATTTGACAAAAAATAAGGTTCGGCTTGCTTGTTTTTTGATAAATTATTTTAGTTTGAGATTCGGTTCAGAGTAAAAAACAATTTGGATTTGGAAAATTTTGACTGTTGCCAAATTATCGACGTGGAAGATTTTATCAGTAAATGATGGAATGCTAAAAATCACGTAAGATTTCCATTGATTATCTATATGTGAGTATGAATTTCATCAATAAAGATTTTTAGGTATTTATTCGCCATTTCCAATCATATTGAAAATCAGTCCTACTCAAACAAGGCCAAGTCTTTAAGAAACTGGAACAGATTCTTGAGTAGTGCACAGGTTTGTGGCTTTCCATATGTTGTTCCACTGAAAGTATTCGCTCCGGTTTTGGATTGATTAATGGCGGAACTATAAATTCGTATTTCCAGCTCTTCTGCTAGTTCTTTCTTGTCACGTCGTTAGCTCATAAACCCGCCGATCGGCCACTCACAATAGTGCCGCCGACGTCAGAGCATGCGCCAAAAAAGGATGTCCATGCTTGGACTATGCGACGCACACTAAACAGATTCAAGCGCGGCTGGAACAGGTGGAACTTCCTCTGCTGCGACAGCTGTCCTAGGTATAAAAGCGCCTCGCTTGGCTGCCAAATGCAGCAGTCGTCGGCTTCAGCTTCCTAGACACACACACACACATTCACCCAATTCACCAAGAGCCCTTCAACGCTATGGCCAAGTTTCAAGTTCTGATTGTGATCGCCGCCTGCCTTTTGGCCAGCAGCGAGTGCCAGGTGCAGCGTGCGCGCTCCTCGCAGCGTTTGAGCCGTGGACGTTCCCGTTACTTTGCACGCCAGGAGCTGGCGCCAGCGGATGCGGATGCCGCCGTCACGCCATATCCTTCAGCCGACGAACTGAAGCCGGAGGTGCCATTCGATGAGGCAGCCGCCCCAGCTGCTGTGGATCCCACACCGGATGCTGTCTATGGACCACCCGATGCGGCGCCTGCGCCCAACAATGTGCCCGATGAGGTCTACGGACCGCCCGATGTCACTGGCAACGATTTGCCCGCCGCCGATGTGCCCGCTGAGCAAGCGCGTCTAGTGGCTGCCAGACGCGCGGCCAACCTGCGACGTGCCCAGCCTTTGGCCTATCGTCGTGTGGCATCCGCAGCGGCACGCCCCGCCAAGCTGAGCGCTGTCCGCCCTCCAGTGAGACGCTTCTAGACGCGTGAGACGCTTCATCTGCTTACGAGCTGCCCGAGCTGGGCAGTCGCATATAGCCAGATGCTAGCTGGTGCATACCCAAAACCCATGACGATTCAACGATTCTCCATGATGACGTACTACACAAACTTACACACACACAAACTCACACACACACACAGACAACACACAATTCACAATTTGAAATGTAATTTTGATTGTAAGCATTTGCAAATAAAATGTTTGGAAAACATAACAAAAGCTCTCAGACATTCTGTCTGCCTTGAATGAATCACAACGGCTTGGAGCGGGCTGCTCCCCGCACGAATAAAAGCCGGACGAGACGCGAGGCTGGGCCAACTACAACCGGTTAAGGAACGCACGCGTGCGCGTCATATAACATGAAATTGATGACGAACCTCTGCATCAAGATTACAGAAATCTGGGTATCTCCCTAACCGCAAGTAAGCAGCCAATTCATGACCGATTCGGTTGGAAGTCGAAGCATTTATACCCTAGAAAATTTTATAATTCTTCTGGCAGCTTAATGAACTAGTACTAATAGGTAGGGTCTTTTGATACAACACTTTTAATAATAATATTTACTCTGAACCGAATCTTTAATCAAGCCTTTCGAGGGAGACCAAGCTCCAGATCTGGAAACACGAATGGAAGTTCAGTCCAAGCCCGGAGCGAATACTTTCAGTGGAACAACATATGGAAAACCTGTGCGGAATCTGTTCTAGTTTCTTAGTAGGGTCGATTATGAATATATACGGATATATGGTATTTAAAATTATGAAGGAAACTTTCTTAATGGTGAAGTAAATACGGTTTGGTTCAGATGTAAGAAAAATTAAATTCATTAAAAAAAAATTCTGTGGAAAACCAAAGACAGGAAGTTAGTTGGAATTAACGACAATTTTTTTTTTTTCATGCCGGAAATTTTTATTTACATACTAATAGGATGTCAAAGGCCCAGAATGATGTACCTCAGAGACTATTTTAACTGAACGATACAAAGAGTTACCTGAACACAAGTTTGTTCAACTTATCGCTGTTAATTTGCAGCAGAGGAGTGGCCTGGCAGGCCGTATACGTTAAAATGTTGGCACTCGAACGAGTATATGAACAGATATGCAAAATTGGAAATTTTAAAACAAGTTAACAAAGAGAGACGGAGAAAGAGAGGGAGAGCGAGATAATAATCGCTGGGGTTAGTCTGGGCCTCCATCAAATTGATAAGCAGCAAAAGCAGCCTCAACTGGCTTGGGCATCGCCTCTGTCGCTATCTCTGCCTCGGCTGATTCAGTTGACTGCGACGCTCGACGCACAGCATCTGGCTGCTTATTTAAGTAATTGGAAGCGCGTTCAGCTCTCAGTCGCTACGAACAAGGCAACAGTTGAGCAACGTGACGTGTTTTCTAATCTTCGAGTGAAATTCGCATATTTAAATCGAAAAAACAATCCAAAGTAAATAAATAATGTGGAAGAGTTTTTCGTACGTTGTGATGTTTGTCGGGCTGCTTGAACTGTCGCAGGCACAGCGGCCATCCTTTGCGGGCGCGCGTCCACCCGGCGGACTCAGTCAGAAGGACAAGTATCATGCTGCCCAAAATACGGTCGTGGAGAACATAACTGGCGTGGACATTGTCACACGATTTGGCGAGGATGCCGTCGCCCAGCAGACGCAGACAATCAATTTGGCCTACGGCGCCGCTCAGAGGCCTCCAATGGGTGTGCCCCTGGTGCTGCCCATAAGCAGCTATGTGCCCGATGTGGCATCGATACCGCCAGCACCAGCACCAACACCAACACGAGCACCAACACCAGCAGCCGTTGACTTTGCGAATCGCTTTGGTGGTACAGACGGCCCCGTCAACACGCCCATTGCGGGCATCCCGAATGCGCCCACGGCTCGTCCCATTGCCAGTGCTGGTACCTTTGCCACGGCTCGTCCCATTGCCAGTGCTGGTACCTTTGCCACGGCTCGTCCCATTGCCAGTGTCGGCGTTATAAGACCCGTGTCTAATGCATTGCCCATCGATGCGCATGGCGATCAGGATTATGTGAATCATCTAAGCCAACTGCCTGCGGACAACCAGCCATTCTGGTTCCTCAACTATCAGGCCATTGAGGCGTTGAGAAACAGCTCGAGGCCAAATGTTAGTGCACTTGAGAATCGGGGATCTTTCTTTGCTGGCTAAAAAACTGGCTTTCCAGCCGCAAATAAAACAATGCCAATAGTAAATTTATTTAAGCTCGTTTCGCCTGTGCAAAGACAATTTAATTATAAAAGCGTATAAAGTAAATATACAAATATTTATATTGTCTTTTGTCTGTGTGGTGTGTACATTATACACTCTTACTCAACAATATTATCTCGAAAAAAAACCGGAGGAAATACCAAAACGTGAGGCATGATTTGTGTGTGTTTTTTTTTCATGCTAGAAGATAACGTTTACCCTTAGGTGCTTCATTAATTATAATATAATATGCAAACGTATTTAAATACATATTTATAAGAGAATTATACGAATTATTATTGTATGTTAATTGTTATACAAACTAAAACTCAGCATACATATTATTTATAAAAACTAAACAAAATATACAGAAATAATTGATGTTTGAATTATTTATTTATGGCTTGGCCAAATTTTTGCCCTGGGAAGAGATATTTATTAAATTGTTGTCCATTCTGTTACTACTTAGCAGGGCGAATCTAAATAATGGAAATCCTATACACAAAATATAATTATTCTGTCATAATTATTACCAAGTTCTGTTTACATCCTCGAGCTTTACATTTTCTACTACCTTTGAAGCTGTTATCTAACTGGCTGCCATAGTAATGAAAGCAGCCTGTTAAATGCTTCAGAAAGGCAAAACGTAAACATAAATAAGAAAACCACTCACAAATAGCAATTTATAAGCAGGCAAAGCATGAAAAATGCATTCAAAGAGCCAGAACAAAGGAAAAGCTAAGGAAAAGGAGCTCAGAAATGTGGAAGGAACCATCTAGCGGCAGGAAAAATGCACAACAAAAACAACTCCAATGCAATGTTTGAAAATGGATCCGAACAATGGAAAGTGCTGGCCAAGAGCAGCGGCTTGTTGAGCTTCTTGGGCGCTTCTTAATGGCGAATGATTTGCAAAACAAAACAAAAAGAAAAATGAGCGAAAAAACCTCGTCGCTGGAGCAAAAGTGTCAACCAGCCACTGAAAAGGGCACTGCAAAAGTAAGGAGTAGAGCACCGCTGTTGAAATAAAACTTAAATATATATGCAGCTAGTTTAACGTGGTTTAATAGATACAACAATAGATTTATATGCAGTCGATCACAATCAATATCACTATCTAACGATTTACCAGGACAGCTGCTGGCCAGCTGCATTGTAGGCAACCACATAGGGCTGCTGGGCACCCAGATAGAAAAACTGGGGAGCCGGTAAGGCGGCTGCCGGCGCAACAGCTGCTGCTGGTGCTTCTACGGACAACTCTTCCAGGCGGGCAATGCGTTGACGTTGACTCAGACGTTTTGGCTGTGCCTTGGCCAGCTGCAGCTTGGCCAGTCTCTGGCGGCTGCTGCGCAGGCGAGCGACAGCTGCTGGTGTGGTCTCCTCGAGCGAGTTCTCCTCGATATCCAGCTCCTCGGCTTCTGTTTCGGTTTCGGGTTCAGCATCAGGCTGAAAGCTATTCAAAGCTGGATCCTGCTCGGCGGGTAATTCATCCAGCTCCGTTGACGGAGGTGGGCCATAGATGAGCGCCGGCTCATCCGGCTTTAGCTCGGCCGCAGACGGATACGGCGTGGGCTGCACCTCCTGCCTGGCAAACACCTGGCGCTGACGATTGAAACGCAATCGCCGGGGCGCTTCAGCTGAAGTGTTGGCCAGCAAAACAGCCAGGAGCAGCAGCAGCAGGGAGCTAGTGGGTTGGTAACGTGCCATGATCGTCTAACTTGTTGTCGCGCTTTGTTGCCGTTCGTATATGGAGCTTTTACTTTTATACTCGTAGTTGGCCCCGTGGCCCCGGTTGCGGCGATTCTAGACCAGCCCGCAACGGTCCGCATATAAAGCAGTCAATAATTTGATAGCCCAATCCAAAAACCAAAAAAAAAAAACCAATGAACTGCATGACAAGCAGGCGCCGCACAGTGCTTCGGAAGTCAATTGTTATTACTTGTGCGTTTTAATCTTGTTTTATATCCTGGCAATTTACCAAAGAAACCTATTTAATAGATGCTTGAAGGACTAACAGAGACTTGAGACTTGAGTGACTTGAACACCAAACTGCATTTTAAATCTAAACTCGTCATGTTGATCGTAATAGGCTTATCTTAGATAACATGCGTTCTTGAATAACCTCGGTGTTTATAGTCCGATCTTTGTCAAATGCTTGGGGATGCTAGATCCTGAATCGGTCTATATCACTAGTGAACCAACATACCAAGAATTGATAATCTTCGAGATAGGCTTAAATAATCATGTCCCACAATTTATTATGATGGATATTAAGAAGATATTGAAGACAATGATAAGTTGCATCTACGTATGGTATATGAGAAAAAATATGCATTCAAACTTGTAGACTCTTGCTTTTGTACATTTCTCGATCAGACAGATGGGCATGGCAAGATCTGTGCGCCTGTTGCAGACATGTGCACATCTCCTTTGAAAAACTTTTAATAGATTCAGGGTGCAAAAGGAAGCAAGACTTTCATGGAGTAATTTTTGCCACAGTGTAGCATAGCAATAAACAACAGTTAACTATTTGTGTATATTTTTCAACACATTTGCACCAATGTGCGCCCAACAAGTGTGCGAAGTTCAGAGTTGGGTGGCCAAACGACTTAATGGTAAATGGTAAATGGTAAATGGTTATGGGTTAGACATGGGCCCTTGACTAAATATTGTCACGTAGGTGCAGGTAGATACCATCTTAAGGGTGTCCCTCGCAGTGCCATTTATGACTGCCAAAATGTTGTGTATAAAAACTCAGCGACTGGCATTCGATATCAACATTCTAACAACACCCAGCAATAGCTCAACATGGCTTTCAAGTTAACCAGCTCTGTGCTCCTCCTGGCTGCTATTGCAGCTGTGACTGTGGCGGAGCCGGCGCGTCTGCGCAGCCGCTCATCGCGTTTCCAGCTGGCTCGCCAGGAGGCGGCGCCACCAGCTCCCGTCGATCCAGCACTGGACCTTGCGCCAACGCCCGCTTCGGCGCCTTATCCAGCTGCTGGTGTTACACCAGCCATAGCTTTTGATCTGCCCACCGAGACGGAGACCGAGGCACAGCCAGATCTGACTTATGGCCCACCGGACAACACATACGGCCCACCTGCCGAGCCTGACAACACCTATGGCCCACCCGCCGAGCCGGATAATACCTATGGACCACCCGCTGATGCTGCAGCGGATCAGGATCTGGCACCAATCGACGCCGATCCATCCTCCGAGCCCATTCCCGCTAGCCTGATTCTGGCACGCAGCGGCCGCCTGCGCAGCCGCCGTCCGGTGCCAGAGAAACTGCGCGCCGCTCAGATCATACGCTCCAAGCCAATCCTAGTCTATACCATCTGAGAAGAATATTGTTGAGCATGTTTTTGCGAATTATCGAGTCACTACGATACAAATATTTGTTATTGATTTAAATATATAAAAAATTTGTTGTTGAAATTGAAAAAAAAATATTGTTTTTGTTATTCACATATCTTATTCCTGAGCTCCAACATGGTTTGTGAACCATATATAATTATTTGATACCAGAAAGCTTCATAAGCACAAGAGAACATTTAAGGTTCAACGGCATACCCATTTAAATTATTCATTCAATCTAAATACATTTGAATGGTGTAGAGTAATTATTTTGACTATATTATAATAAATATCGCTGTTTGTCCTGATGATTTTTGACGAAAGTTACCAAACATTATGTAAGTGCACGCTAAGACAGGGTTAAGCGAAATTCCACCCGCAAGTGTGGAAAATTCATGGATTCCCTCTTGTGTGAAACATTTTTGTCTACCATCCAATCGGACAAATTTGTATACCCTTGTAGAGGGCATTAAAATGTTGTCATAAAACGCGAAATGCAAAGAAGGCGATATCTCTGACCGAATAAAATATATATATTCTAGATTAGTATCAACAGCTGAGTTGATATAGCCATGTCCATCTATTCGTCTGTCTGTTTCCATGCGAACTAGTCTATCATCGTGAAACTTTGCTTAGGTCAATCTTTCTTTTGCAGGCTGTAAATGAGTCGGAACCGGCCAGGTCGGTCCACTTTATCAAAAGCTGCTGACCCTTATATATATCAAATCTTATTAACATCGGACGATGATATTACAAGACTCCAATAGGAAAGGCCGGTCGAAAAGTAGGTTCTTATATATCAAAAAAATCTGTTTTCCAAGATATTTTCATCAAGCTCAGCATTTACGATTTTCACTACTTTCACATGTTTTCAAAACCGTAGGCAAATACTTACAAGGCTATTAAAACTTCGGAATTTATTATAATTTAAAGAAAAATCTTGTCACAGGCCGAGCCAGGGGATGCAGTATAATTCTTTAGTATTTCTGGACAAAAGTCTGTTATTGGCTCGAGAATAGTTTATTGGATAAAAATATTAGGTTTTTCAAACATAAGGTCAGCTGTCTGATATAGTAGCTCGATTCGACCGTTGTGTTATGTGAGAAAAAAGTAAAAAAAAAAAAAACATATCATCAAACTAACATTAAGACTTAGAGAGCAATTTACACAGAACTCTATTTGCTATAACAAAATGCAACCAGGGTATACTTTAATAAAAAATTGCCGAAATTAATTTAGCAAATACACCTCATGCCCAATAATTGAAATATCACAATTCTGGCGAGCTTGATAACCTTTAAAATATTTGGGTATTTATAAAAAGAACATAATTAATGGCAATTAATATTTAATGATCGAAGACTTCGCCTGACCTAGATGAGAATTGTGTCTAATGTCGAGCTTCTCCAGACACGTTTTTGCCAAGGTCTGTGGATATGAATATAAAAGCCATCAAATAAAATTATGAATAGCCAAGAACCCACCAAAACAAACAACGACCAAAGGCCTATTGCAATCGGCGTCGACGGCGTGTTAATGAAGAGCTACAGAGACGAGCACTTGGCGCTTGGGTTAGCATTGGCGGCCAAAATTGGGAAAAGGGTCACGTAGCCAGCATTAAAACAGAAATCACAAGCCGATTCGATCGGGGCAACATAATCAGAGCCGTGCCGAGCAAACGGGAACAGCAACTACGACTACTAGCTAGGAGGCCTAAAATCAAAAGTGACGAGCATAAATTATGAACAAAGATCTGACGGGAGGCGGCTATAAATAAGCTCAGCTCTTGGGCAACTCAGAACACAACTCAAGTGATCGTCAAAATGATTAAAGCCTCGTCTGCTATCCTGCTGCTGAGTCTGGCCGTGTTGGCCAACTCGGAGCCACTGCGTCAAAGATTCGTACCACGTCGAGGCCTGGCACGTCAGGAGCAGGCAGCGCCACCGAGCCCAGCGCCCACGGGCTATCCGGAGGCGGGCATTACTCCCGAGGTACCATTCGAACTGCCAAGCTCAACCGCCCAACCGGAAGCCAGTTACCTGCCACCGGATAACACATATGGACCACCGGACAGTGTCTACGGACCACCCACAAGTGTGGATGAGGTGGCGCAGCCAGATCAGGTGCCAGAGGCAGAGCCAGAGCAGCCCATCGAAACGGACGACATACCAGCTCCAGAGGATGAGTTGCCCGTCGATGCCAAGCAGCAGCCAGCCGCAGATGTTGATGAAGAGGAAGTGATTGTGCAAGTGGCCGAAGATGGAACCGTAATTGCCCTATCCACGACACTGGATCAGCCCCAGGACAATAAGCCGGCTAGGATCTATCAACGCTTTCCACAGGGACGCCGCCGCCAGCAGCCGGTGCCTCAGCGCTTGGTGCTGCGCAGCAGGTGGTAAAATTATAACCTAAGTCATGTAAGGGCTATTAATAAAGTTGGCCATAACAACATAATCTTTGGCTTACACGTTAAGGCGGTCTAGTCAGCGCTGTTGGGCTCGTAAACGCTTGGGTTTGCCGTATAAGTCATCGTGGCGGCGGCGGCGTTGGCGATTGGCCTCGTCTGTATTTTGGGCACTGGGGCAGTTTGGTCAGTCTATCAATGAAGGTCATCTGTGGGCTTTGGGTACTTAAAGCAGCCAATTGCCAGGTGGAAGTAGCAGTTCATGTTTTGACAGCAAAATGTTCGGTGCAAGCGTGTTATTTGTGGTCCTTTGTTCGTTGCTGGGTCTGGATGCTAGTGCGGCGGCTGGATTACGCTTTCCGGGACCCGTTTTACAGCGACAAGAGGCCGCACCATATCCAGCAGCTGGTCTGACGCCTGATCCGCCGTTTGAGTTGCCAACGGAGCAGGCGGCTGACTTTCCTGAACCGGATTTGACCTATGGACCACCTGAAGAGCAGCCGGAGCTGATTTATGGACCACCTGACGAGGTCTACGGTCCTCCCGATGAGGTCTACGGACCACCAGATGATACCTACGGACCTCCGGCGGTGGATGAAACTCCTGACCAAATATACGGTCCACCTGCGGCGCCCACGAACATTGACAGCAACAGTGCGGTACAGAGTGCAGCAATCATAAACCTGGCTAGCTTGCGGCCACAGGCACAGCTAATACTACCGCTGGTGCAACGTTTTACCACCTTCCGGCAGCTGCATCCCGTACAGAGCCAACGAAGACCCGCAAAACTGACGGCGCGTCCACAAAGGAGGCCCGCCAAAATTGTTAATAGAGTTAACGCTGCTTTCCCTGCAACCCAATTGACCCCGCCATTTGTGGAGCGTCGCATTCCGTTTAGAGCTGAGCGCTTAATTCTTAATGCCCCTTTGAAAAGAAAACCGGCTAAGATAACCGTTAATTCGCCTGTATCTCCGTTAGCGCAGTTGACGCCCGCTATACGTAGGCCAATATACTCGGGCGGTCGCATTATTGCCTATTCTGTTCGAGCGCAGAATTGGTAAATGATGTAATCACTTGTAAATATTATATTAATAAAAATAACTATCATTTGAAATTGTACATTTTTAGTGCCGATTAAAATTGTTGTACAAAATTCTGTGTTGATAAATCTTTGATTTTACGCATCTGGTAGCCCACTTAATATCGATATATTTTAATTAACTGACATATCGGCACACCAACATTCTATAGATTATCCATCCCTGTAGCACGCTAAATTGAACTGCCGACAACGCTGTATTTTAATAAAAATACAAATCAACAAAACAAGTTTAACCCATTGACTTTATCATCTTAATAATAAAGTGAGTAACAGCAGTGGGTTCTGCTATAAAAACCAAATCCCTAAGCTTTGCCATTGTCGACTTGAGCGCAAGGTACATTTTTGGCGAACGGGAGTAAGCGATCCAAGTTAATAAACTGTTTCTTAGATAAAATGGCAGGAGTGTTATTTGAGGACATATTCAACGTCAAGGACATGGATCCTGAAGGTAAAAAGTTCGATCGTGTTTCCCGCCTGCACTGCGAATCAGAGTCTTTTAAAATGGACCTCATACTGGACATAAATTCGTGGCTCTATCCCATGGAATTGGGAGACAAATTCCGCTTGGTACTGGCCACAACACTGCGCGAGGACGGGTGTCCCGACAGCGGCGAATATAATCCCATGGAGCACGAAGGCACGCGAGCGGACAGTTTTGAGTATGTTATGTACGGAAAGATCTATCGCATAGAAGGCGACGAAGCGCACAACGAATCATCACGGCTGTCGGCATACGTTTCATTTGGTGGTCTGCTCATGCGTCTGCAAGGTGATGCCAATAATTTGCACGGCTTTGAAGTGGACCAGCACATGTATTTGCTAATGAAGCGACTGGCGTTTTGAGTTTTGTATAATAAATCACATTGCGCTTGGAAGAGTCAATTTTTTAGTTATAATATGCAGTGTTACCGTAAACGCCAAATGCTAAAATACTAAAACTGCAGTATTGAAATACAGGGATTGTATATCTTAAATGTCGACCTATCGATATTCCCTGATCGAACTAGTTCCACCCAAAGCATTACAAGTAAACACGACGCAGCGGGGTGCAAAAAGGAAATTCATTAAATTTTTACAAACAAAACAATATATTTTACATGTGCAATGTAATGTATAACATGTGAAATGAGCTAAGATTCTTCCTGGCCTGTGCTAAGCGTTCACAATATGTTTGTGCTCATGGGGCTGCTGAAGGTAAACACAAATATGAAGTGTGCACTGAAAATGGGTGTTTGTTTGGAAAATGCAGCAAAGGTTTAAACAAATAATACATAAAATGTAGCCAGGTGCTTTGCGTGTGTGTGACTATAGTGGTGAGTGTGGTTGTGTGTTGTGTGTGCTTGAATCAGTTTTGTTTTGCAGCTGCTCTATAAATATTCGCACTCCACTGCGGGTAAGTTGCCTTTTTTTGCTCTGATTTCCCTAACAATGCGAATTAATTGTGGTGTTGGCATTTACTTATTTATATATGAAATATAATAAACTGTGATACATTGGTGCTGGTATTTTGTAGTTACTAACAAAACTTCTTGCCGCAGGTTTTTGTTGATCTTTCCGTGCGACATAAACAAAAGACTTCAACGTTTGACCCCCACAGCAAGAAGCACGCCCTGTGCTCTGCAATTGCGCTGCCCGCTACTGCTGCCTATTTAGCATTACAAAACTGCTGTTTTTTCTTTTTTTTTTTTTTATATATATATGTATATATTCTTTGTGTCCCACACCTTTTGTGACTTTTCGCTGTCGTTCGTGCTTTTTTCAACGTTCTCTTTCAATTTAATGAATCGCTGGCTACCGTACGGCAGCGTCGCTTCCACGTCGGACGCGGCCGACAGCAGAGCTGCTGCAATAGTTACAGTTAAAGCTCTTTGGAAGTGTTTTTTTTTTAGGGTTTGTCGCGCGCTTTTAATTTGCTTTTCAACAGTGCTTTCATTTTCGTTTTACGCTTCATTTGCGTAACGTGCAGCTGTGTGAACTGTGGCCCTGTCCCTGCACTTGGACATCATGCTTCAATGCTGTTCCCAATTACCATCATCGAGTACATAAAACTGTGCACAGTAAGTTTTGGCGTGCGCCGCCGCCCTTTGGTTATTTTTTGTTGTCTTCAATGAAGCGTCGCCACAGGTCTGTAAATCTCCTATTTGCATGTGTGTGTGTGTGTGTGCGTCTGGAGGGGGTGTGTGAGCTCATATGGGCAATCTGTTCGCCAGATGTTTATGTATAGCATTTCGCGCTAACTGTTCCCAGGGTCGTCATCGTCGTCTATTCTTGATTTTTACAGTTTTCTTTGTTTCGCATGCAGTTTTCCTACATTAATATGCCACTTCACTGGAAGTTCTGAGCAACAACTGCAGCAGCAAGAGCAATTTTATAGTGAAAAAGATTCCACTAGTTGTATAAGTAAACTCTTATCTGACCAGACTTAGCCTTATCAGTTATTGCCTTTGTCGCGCGCTTATCAGCTCGCTCTCTCGCATTCCAAACAAAAGATTGAGAAAACAAACTAAACAACATTTCAGCTTTCCACACATAAGTTGTCACATGTGTGTGTGTATATAAACTACCTGGAAATTCTAGCTGATAAAGTGATAAAAACAAATATAGTAGTACTGCTACACAGTAAAAAAAAAAGTGTTCAATTCAAGAGTATATTTCTCAGGTTTCGAATTTGATTAGAGCCAAAACTGAGAAAGTATTAAATCAACCACCAAGACACTTGTGATGACGGGCTTTAATCAGTAAATCCTAAAAGTATTTAGCTTACATAAAGCTAATAATTTTTTGCTCCGTGTAATTGCGCGCACTTCCCTCTGTACGACTCTCTGCCCCGCCCCTTGAAGTGGTTCTTATCGTGAGCGTCAGTTTTTAAAGTTCGGTGGACACAGCTGAAATTCTTATTGTTGTTTTCTTTTGTGTTTTGTTTTGTGAGTTGTTTCGAACGTGGCAATGCAAGCTAAATAATCAACAGCTCTTAACTTTTTCTTGCAGCGAAACTATAACTAAATCGCTATAACAATCCGAGGTGTTTGGGAACCTTCTTCTTAAGCTAAAAATTGTCGAAAATCAAATACCTATCGTAGAAACATTAACCCCTTACCCAAGTAAATTAGCAGCTGGTGCCGGGTGCAGGAAGATCTGTAATAGACATAAAACTAACACAGCATGGTACGCAGTCGTCGCAGCCTATCCAAGGAGGATGCCGTCTCTGTGCTCACGGACAGCGGTATATCGCTGTCATCGCCGCCGGCGGCTCGCGATTTCTCGCCCGCTGCCACGGCCATTAAGCGACGCAAAAGCAGCCTCAACAGTCTGCAAGATTTGTATGTGGATGGAGAGCCCGAAGCCGAGCAGGACTCGACAGATGCCGATGCGGACTACATTCAGCCCAAACCAAAGAAATCACCACGCAAAGCAGAGTCCACCAAACGCAAGCAACACGTGTGCACCCATTGCTCTAAGGAGTTTGGTGGCAAGACCGATCTGCTGCGTCACATGCTCATCCACTCCGACGAGCGGCCACACAAATGTACTGAGTGCGGCAAATGCTATCGACAGGCGGTGAATCTTAAGAACCACATCACCACCGCCCACGAGCACAAGAAACAGTTCGCTTGCAGCCAGTGCCCCAAATCATTTGCACTGAAGGAGCGCCTAAAACTGCATATGCGTTTGCATTCGGGTGAGAAGCCATATCCATGTGCACTCTGCGAGAAACGCTTCGCACGTGGCGGTCAAGTGAGTACAGTAGTAGCACACCATTTATCCTATATTCAAACTCATATTTCCCATTTCCTTCCGCGTGCAACAGCTGCAACAGCACATGGTATCCCATCACAAGACGAGTATTCAGCAATTCAACTGCACCAAATGCTCGGCCAGCTTTTCGACCAATGCCAATCTGCGCGTACACATGGAACGACACGAGCAGGGAATGGAGCACAGATGCTCCATATGTGAAAATCAGTTTGCTAATGAATTGGCACTGCGCGCTCATATCAATCAGGAGCACCACAAGCTGAGTCAATTTGATTGTGAAATTTGCCATAAGACCATCGAACCGGATGAGGATCTGGCCACGCATATGCAGAAACACGCCGCAGTCAAGACGCACGTCTGCGAGGTGTGCAATTCGTATTTCACCCAAAAGTCGCAATACAATGTGCATATGCGAATGCACACGGGGGAGCGGCCATATCAGTGTCGGGTAAGAGGCGACTATGCAGAAGAAGATAATATCTATTTATATTGATGTATCGTTGTAGATCTGTCATCAAACGTTTGCCCACTCCAGCGTCCTAAAGCTGCACATACGGAAACACACGGGTGAAAAGCCATTTCGCTGCCAACTATGTACGGATGAGGTGGCCTTCTCGCAGCTAGCGCATCTTAAGAATCATATGAAAAAGATACACAAACAGCAGAAGCCCTACATGTGCCCTGGCTGCCAAGAGTTCTTTAAAATCAAAGTGGAGCTGCAGGCGCATGCCGAGCAGTGTGGCAAGTGTCAAGCAACAGAGGAGCCTAACGATAGTCAAACAGAAGATGCACATACGCTTTCCAACATTCGATTCAATATTGCTGTTGTGCTGAAAAAGATAAGCTCGGCACAGAAGCTGCGTCAGCTAGGTTATGAGAAGCGTCTAATTGATAATGTTATAATTGCATCGCTCAAGCTGGCACAGCGTCCTTCACATGACGATGCGACGTTGACGCCTTTGGCTAGGCTGCGTTTAAATGTGGAGGAGTTTCTCAAGTGGATTGTGCCGGCGCAGACCATGCAAAAGTTTAGCGAGGAGCTGCTCTCGATCGATACGATACTCGACAAGATTGCGACCATGTACATGAAGCAGAAGTAAAAAGCAACTATTGCTCATTGCTTCTGACCAAAGCGATTGTGCCATAGAGTAAACGCGCTTAGAATTAGTTCTTGCCATTTAATTTAGCTTAAACCCAAAAAGTTAAATAGACAATTTTACCAAATGATTTAGTCCAAAGATGTTAGGATTTAAGCACCGATACTTTGAATTTACATCATATTAGATTTGCCTTTACCAAAAAAAAAAAAAAAAATGTTATTAATAACACATGAAAACACATAAAGTGATTATGTTCCATTATACGAAAACTTGCCAAAGCAGTGCTTACCGCTTAGTTTTTACTTAAAGTTCAATTTAATTCAATTCTTTGTGGCCATACATATTTATTTACAGAGTAGCATATGAGTCCACATCATTGTCGTTAGTTTATAATGTACAACCCTCATTTACGAAACCAAATATAAACCATTGTATAATCCCAATAATAGTTAAGTACTGTAAGTGTACATGTTAAGAAGTGAATACAATTAGCAAGATAAAAAATAAATGAAATCACTTTAGAGTCAATATTTTATATTTAAATTTAGATATGTATATTACCTAACAACCATGGTGTCTTTATTTATTCATTTTCATATATTTTAATTTGTTCAAAACGCCCACTTAAAATCGGATTGCTCTTTTAGGTGATTTTTATGATTAACTGCAAGTAATATATACTTTACATATTTTTTGGGCAAGTGGTAACTGTCTCTCTTCGCGACTTAGATGTTTTGTTCTAGCCTACTTAACAAGTACATAGTCTAGTTCTGTTTTGACCTTTGTATTTATATATATAACAGCGCCTTATGGTTGGTTGCGAGGGGGTGGATTTATGAAAAAAGAAAGCTAATAATTTGACCTATTTGAAATTCTAACAAAAACAAAGCAATTGCAGTTTTTTCTAAGGGAACGGCTTACGTATTAACAAACGATTTGGAGAAAAAAGCAACAAGTCGTCACTGATCAACTCGGAAAAAAACTGTCCAGAGCCAACGAGCTAACCACAATAACAGTTATGTACAACTGCCTTTGCAACTGCATTGGTGGTGGTTGGTGGTCTGCGATCTGTTGACTGCCCCTGCCCCCATGGGCCCAGTGCTTAAATGCTATATATGGTCGCGTTTGTGCAAATTTATAAGCCACTCACATTAAGGCGGCAAATATTTTTATGGCCATGGTATAACTGGCAGTGGCAGCATCCTCAGCATTAGCCGTTCCACCTGCTGCTGCTGCTGCTGTCCACCTGAGGCTCCCCCACTAGATGCCGATTAATGAAATTTCTACAGCGAATTTATTGAAATGCCCGTAAGTGTCTGCTGGGAAAAACTGAGGCGCGAGAAATATGGCAAATTTTATATATCTAATATATAGATATATATGTGTATGTATATGATTTTTATTGTGGCCAACTGCTGGTTGGCGTTGGCGTTTGTCCATTGCGTGTCACTCGATGTTAAGGTGCGCCTTGTCTACGTTCCATGCTCCGTTTGCGGTCGGCTTGGCCACAGCCAGCAGCAGCAGCAGCAGCTTAATGTCTACATTTGTTCTGGCCATTGCGTGTTCAGTGGCTGCCCTTTCCTTTTTCTATGCATCTCCAGCCTCTCGTTGCAATGGCTCCAACATCTGCTGCTGCAACCGCTGCCATGGCGCATTAGAACAAATTGTTCTTGTTACGATAGGAGGATGGACATGCCTTTTGCCTTGTTTGGACCGTAGGACAGAGTGCCACTGCTGTTGCTCTTGAATACCCTACAAGTTGAGCGTCTCTGCAATGCAAGATAACTACTGAAAAGTAACTATCTTTTTACCGAGAAGTGGCATATTTCCCATGTTTTGTGTACGTATTTTGCATTCATTTCAAGTATTTTTTAAAGCATATGGGAATACTATTTTGTATTAGCAGATAAGATAAGGTTAGGCTTAAGGAATGAAACAATTTTTTTTTTTTTTTAAAAGAATGATTAACCACTGTATTTCTAAGTCATAGGTATATGTCTTGAGGGTTCTCCATTTAGTAGCCTCAATAATTTAAATAATTGTTTCCAGGATATTCACAAGTTCGGCTTGTCACGCTCTTTAAATTTTCTTCTTTCCGAGTTGTCGGTTTTTTTTTTTCGTTCGTTTAATGCGCTGCGAATTCGTGAAACAAATAGTCACAGACACAAGAGCTCTGTAACTAAGTACGCATGTTTCTTGGTCGGCTTAACTTCATCTGCATGCAGATTTCGTCTGCGCAATGTTAATGATGGGAAAAATGTGTGTGCTTGGAGTGAAGAGGAGGAACTGCCTTCTGCAGTATCCAGATCCATTGCCCAGACGAAAGACACAGAGCCTGTGACGGTTCCTGTTCTCGTTTTCATTGTGTGATCCGCAGCAAATTGATTCGGCTTGGGTATTTTGTTCCTCAACCATTTGACGTTGTTAGTTTGGTAAACTCGCATTATATAATGTGCATATATAATTCTTTTGTTGTCTGCTGCTAATTTGCAAATTTGCGCCGACATTGAGGTAATGTCATAGCTGAAATCGCTGCTCGACGTGGCTCGTTCAGAACCCGGACCAAGGGAGTCGGTAATCATGGTCAGTTGTTGACCAGCTTCAACGTTGACTGACATCTAATTGTGTGTGATTTGTGTGCGGAGTTGGCGTTGCAAAATGGTAGCCCAGCTAATAGGCTGCTTATTAAGCTGTAAGTGGTAAGGACTGCATACAAAATTGCAGTCGTCCACTTAAACTAAGCCAACTGAAGAGAAATGAAAACGGAAAATGAAAACGGCATCATATTTTACGAACAAGTATTACTGTAGCCTTGTATTGTAATTTTGTCATGAAATATGTAACGCACAAAAGGAGACACCTCCGACTCCATAAAGTATATATTTATGCTTGATCAAGATGACGAGCTGAGTCGATCTGTAGCCATATATTCAAGACTGAATTTGCAATATATGCCTGACTAAGGATCTCCTCCAAAGCTGTTTGCTGTATTTGTCCACCTGGTTACTTAAAAACTTTGACGGTGGAGGTTGGAACGAAAGGAGAATCTAAAATATAATTGTTTAATTACCACAATCTACGGTTCCTTATAGACATGGGGCCTGACATGCTATAGCCTTGAAGACACCAGCTAGCCATTATGGCTGTTGACCATGGATGGATTTTCGACAAAGCCCATCTGCCAGCACATGTGTCGGTCGTTCAACTCAACCTGAGCAAAGTCAAAGGCAAGTCAAAAGTCATAAAAGATATGCAAGCACACACAGCCTGCTTCTATATGAGCATAAATATGTACATGGTGCACACTACTATATACAAAGACACACATACATATACATATGTTGGAGTATGTGCGTCTACATCTGCTGCTGGTAATCCTTGGCCGTGTGTCTGCCCTTTGCAGCAACAGCAGCAACAACAATTACAAATGAACGACTTCTTTGTTCTGTCAGCAGCAATGGTTGGGCCCAAGTTCGAGTTCGAGTTGCGGTAGCAGCCAAAAGAGGGGGCGTCGTCAGCGTCTACAACTCTCACAGTGCTCTACAGAGCCTACAGTGGCCAGCAGCTGCTACGCATAAAGCATAAGCCATTTGGGCATTTGGATGCGAATGCTGCTGCGGATGCAGCATTTGAGGCGTGGGGCATGGTGCATGGTGCATGGGGCGTATTGCGTTGTAGCTGGCCAAAACAAATAGATGAGGATGCTGGAGAGGAGCAGCCTGTGCAGCAAAATGTGCAACGTTATCATAACTAAGTGCATGGGATGCGTGTGCGCCCCAAAAGCGCCTGCATATGCATAATTCATGCTATTGAACCCTCTGCTTTACAGAAAACAGACTGCAGACAAGAAACTACAGACTGGACCCTGGACATGGACATGGGCATGAACCTGGAGTGGCTGTGCGGCCTGGCTAGAAAAATTATAATTTCACAAGTCATAATAGGATTTGCAATTCAAATGCGAACGCAGACACAGATACAGACACGGACACGGACACAGACGCAGACGCAGACGTAGACGCAAATACAGAACTCAACTCCTTGAGTCGAGTTGCACAAATTTCTGTGGAAGGCGCAGTCAACAAATGACGACAACAATGAGCCTCTCACAGCCAAGCTGAGGCCGCAGACGGTGAACAACAGACAGCAGCCTCAGGTCCAGCCAGGCTATGGGGCCAGACAATGGTTGGGCCAGCGCACGGCCATAGCCAATATGTCAAAAATATTAAGAGACATGGCCATCGAGCGAGGCATAAATATGCAAACGATAAGCGCTCGCCTCTATAAAGTTGTAAAATTGACAAGCGTTGTGCGATGCCAAAGTCTCAAATAAAGCAATAAAATGCGCTAAAACATCGCCATCGACATGGCCCCATCGATGGACGGTAGCCGATCCCCACAGTGGTCCAAATGCAAAAATTAGAAATGAAAGCCAGCGGGTTGCCAGCCTAGAATTTATTCCAGTTGGTTATCCAGCTTGGGGTTTGCGGCATGCAACTGCCACTGTGCCACAAATTATGCTGCGACAGTCACAGCTGACTCAATCAGTGGAGGAGGATGCGCATCCATGACCGCGCTTGACCATCTATTGATTATCAATTCATGAGTCTGAGCGAGCAAGGTATCAAGGAAGTGCAGCTCAAGTATCATACAGATAACTAATGCGCTTCCATGGCTGAACATCGTAATAATGTCAACCGTATGCTGATGATGCTCGCCCAATGGGGACACTTGACAAAGACACAAATGCTTGGATGTTGCTACTTCATGTGCTTCTGGATGGTTTATCTCAAGTAGGAAGTGAGAGTTTAACATTCTCGTAACTTGGCCCTGAGAATAACTGCGGCACGTAAGGCAGCTAAGCATTTTAACTGATAACTATTGTTATTATTTATATAGTTAGATATTATTAATATTATATTGTTAAAGTTATATATATATTTAGTTAGTTCCATCCGACTGACTTTAAATTCAAGAACACTTTATCCGAGCAAAACCGGGTATATTGGCTAGGATATTGATTGGGAAATATGGCGATAATTTTCATATCTTCTTTTTAATATTTAATATATTTCAAGGCGAATTTATTTTACTTAAGAGAAAAATATATGATAAAAAAAAATAACAAAAGACTTAGGCAACGAACTTGACAATTTTCTAGCTAAAAACTTTTCTTCTAAAAACCAAACGGCCAGTTTTGATTAGGGCTTAAGCTCAGCCTGTGTTCAGCCGCTGCGTCATAAATATTTAATGGCAATGATGATATAGCCAGGCGCGTGGCCACGTTCCAAAGCTCCATGGCCATAGAATAGCCTCGATCTTAGCCTTTTGGCTTGGCTTTGGCTTTAACTTCAATTTAAATCAAATGCGCGCGCCGATGCCTGCTCCGCTATGAGGTCTTACCTCTTATTTTTAGCTTAAGCATATGACCGACACACACACACACACACACACTCACTCACTCATATAATAGGTATGTGTGTGTGTGCTATTTTTAGAGCCACATTTAAGTGGCGACCGCATTTGCG